TTTTATAGAGAAACTGAAAGAATCTCGTGACCCCTAGTGCTATTTTTTTCTAAAACTTGAAAGAATCTCGGGTTCCTTTAATGTCTTTTAGAGAAGCTGAAAGGATCTCGGTGTCTTCCACTGTCTTTTTTAGAGAAACTGAAAGAATCTCGGGTTTCCCTAGAGCCATTTTAGAGAAATCGAAAGAATCTCGGGTTTCCCTAGTGTCTTCTTTAGAGAAACTGAAAGTATCTCGAAGTTTCCGAGTGTCTTTTTTTTAGAAAAGTTGAAAGAAGCTCGGGCCCACCTAGCATCTTTTGTGGAGAAGCTGAAAGTATCATAGGGTCCCCCAATGTTTTTTTATAGAAGCTGAAAAAATCTCGGGTTACCCTAGTGGCTTTCTTAAAGAAATTGAAAGAATCTCGGGATTCCCTAGTGTCTTTTTTTAGAGAAGCTGAAAGAATCTCAGGTTCCTTAGTATCTTTCCTAGGGAAGCTGAAAGTATCGTAGGGTCCCCTAGTGTGTTTTTTAAGAGAAGTTGAAAGAATCTCCGTTTCTCCTAGTGTTTTTTAGAGAAACTGAAAAAATCTCGGGTTTCCCTATTCCCATTTTGGAGAAGCCGAAAAAATCTCAGGTTTCCCTAGTATCTTTTCTAGGGAAGCTGAAAGTATCATAAGGTTCTCTAGTGTCTTTTTCTTAGAGTAATTGAAAGAATTTCGGGTTCCCCTAGTATTTTTTTTAACGAAACTTAAAGAATCTTTAAGTTCCCTTGCGTCAGGTTCCCCTATTATTTTTTCTAGAGAAGCTGAAAGTATCATAGGGTTCCCTAGTATCTTCTTTTCAGAGAAGATAAAAATATCTAGGGGTCCCCTAGTACTAGTTTTTCTAAACTTTGAAAGAATCGCGGGGTCTTTTAGTGTCTTTTTTAGAGAAACTGAAAGAAATTAGGGTTTACGCTAGTGTGCTTTTTAGGAGAAACTGAAAGAATCTCGGGATTTCCTAGTGTCTTTTTGGGGAAGCTGAAAGAATCTCAGGTTCCCTTAGCATCTTTTGTGGAGAAGCTGAAAGTATCATAGGGTCCCCCAATGTTTTTTTATAGAAGCTGAAAAAATCTCGGGTTACCCTAGTGGCTTTCTTAAAGAAATTGAAAGAATCTCGGGATTCCCTAGTGTCTTTTTTTAGAGAAGCTGAAAGAATCTCAGGTTCCTTAGTATCTTTCCTAGGGAAGCTGAAAGTATCGTAGGGTCCCCTAGTGTGTTTTTTAAGAGAAGTTGAAAGAATCTCCGTTTCTCCTAGTGTTTTTTAGAGAAACTGAAAAAATCTCGGGTTTCCCTATTCCCATTTTGGAGAAGCCGAAAAAATCTCAGGTTTCCCTAGTATCTTTTCTAGGGAAGCTGAAAGTATCATAGGGTTCTCTAGTGTCTTTTTCTTAGAGTAATTGAAAGAATTTCGGGTTCCCCTAGTATTTTTTTTAACGAAACTTAAAGAATCTTTAAGTTCCCTTGCGTCAGGTTCCCCTATTATTTTTTCTAGAGAAGCTGAAAGTATCATAGGGTTCCCTAGTATCTTCTTTTCAGAGAAGATAAAAATATCTAGGGGTCCCCTAGTACTAGTTTTTCTAAACTTTGAAAGAATCGCGGGGTCTTTTAGTGTCTTTTTTAGAGAAACTGAAAGAAATTAGGGTTTACGCTAGTGTGCTTTTTAGGAGAAACTGAAAGAATCTCGGGATTTCCTAGTGTCTTTTTGGGGAAGCTGAAAGAATCTCAGGTTCCCTTAGCATCTTTTTTAGAGAAGCTGACAGTATCATAGGGTCCCCTAATGTGTTTTTTAGAGAAGTTGAAAGAATCTCGGGTTCTCCTTGTATTCTTTTTTAGAGAAACTGAAAGAATCTCGGGTTTCCCTATTGCCATTTTAGAGAAAGTGAAAGAATCTCGGGTTTCCCTAGTGTCTTCTTCAGAGAAACTGAAAGTATCTCGAAGTTTTCTAGTGTATTTTTTTGTAGAAGCTGAAAGAATCTCAGGTTTCCCTAGTATCTTTCCTAGGGAAGCTGAAAGTATCATTGGGTTCCCTAGTGTCATTTTTTTAGAGTAATTGAAAGAATTTTGGGTTCACCTAGTATTTATTTTAACGAAACTTAAAGAATCTTTAGGTTCCCTTGTGTCTTTTATGGAGAAGCTGAAAAAATCACAATTTCCCCTATTATCTTTTCTAGAGAAGCTAAAAGAATCTAGGGGTCCCTTAGTACTAGTTTTTCTAAAATTCGAAAGAATTTCTGGGTCTTTTAGTGTCTTTTTTAGAGAAACTGAAAAAATCTCGGGATTCCCTAGTGTCTTTTTGGAGAAGCTGAAAGAGTCTCAGGTTTCCTTAGTCTCTTTTCTAGAGAAGCTGGAAATATCGTAGGGCCCCTAGTATCTTTTCTAGAGAAGCTGAAAGTATCATAAGGCCCACTAGTGTCTTTTTTTTAGAGAAATTAAAACATATCGGGTTTCCCTAGTGCCGTTTCAGAGAAATTGAAAGAATCTAGAAGTCCCCTAATGCTAGTTTTACTAAAATTCGAAAGAATCTCTGGGTCTTTTAGTGTCTTTTTTAGAGAAACTGAAAGAATTTAGGGTTTCCACTAGATTTCTTTTTTAGAGAAATTGAAAGAATTTCGGGTTACCTTAGTGTCATTTTTAGAGAAACTGAAAGAATCTCGGGATTCCCAAGTGTCTTTTTGGAGAAGTTGAAAGAATCTCAGGTTCCCTAGTATCTTTTCCAAAGAAGTTAAAAGTATCGTAGGGTCCCCTAGTGTCTTTTTTGGAAAAGCTGAAAGAATCTCAGGTTCCCCTATTATCTTTTCTAGAGAAGCTTAAAATATTATAGGGTCCCCTAATGTCTTATTTTTAGAGAAACTAAAATATGTGGGGGTTTCCCTAGTGTCGTTTTGGAGAAACTGAAAGAATCTAAGGGCCCCCTAGTGCTAGTTTTTGTAAAATTCGAAAGAATCGCGAGGTCTTTTAGTGTATTTTTTAGAGAAACTGAAAGAAATTAGGGTTTCCAATAGTGTCTTTTTTTAGAAAAACTGAAAGAAATTCTGGATTCCTTAGTGTCTTTTTGGAGAAGCTGAAAGAATCTCAGGTTCCCTTAGCATTTTTTCTAGAGAAGCTGAAAGTATCGTAGGGTCCCCTAGAGTCTTTTTTAGAGAAGGTGACAAAATCTCGGGTTCCCCAAGTGTTCTTTCTTTAGAGAAACTGAAAGAATCTTGGGGTTCCCTTGTATCTCTTTTGAAGAAGCTGAAAAAATCTTGGGTCCCCCTACTATCTTTTCTCGAGAAGCTGAAAGTATCATAGGGTACCCTAGTGTCTTTTTTGAGAAGCTGAAAAGTTTCGGGTTCTCCTAGTGTTTTTTTTAAGAAGAACTGAAAGAGTCTCGGGATTCCCTAGTGTATTTTTTTGGAGAAGCTGAAAGAATCTCAGATTCCCTTAGTATCTTTTCTACAGAAGCTGAAAGTATCATAGGCCCCGCTAGTGTCTTTTTTAAAGAAACTGAAAGAATCTCGGGGTCCCTTAGTGTCTTTTTGGAGAAGCTGGAAGAAACTCAGGTTCCCTTAGTATCTTTTCTAAAGAAGCTGAAAGTACCGTAGGATCCCCTAGTGTTTTTTTAGAGAACCTGACAGAATTTCGAGATTCCCTTGCGTCTTTTTTTGGAGAAGCTGCAAAAATTTCGGGTCCCCCTACTGTCTTTTTTTGAGCAGCTGAAAGTGTCAGAGGGTCCCCTAGTGTCTTTTTTAGAGAAGCTGAAAGAGTCTCGAGTTCTCCTTGTGATTTTTTTAAGAAAAACTGAAAGAATCTCAGGTTCCCCTAGTATCTTTTCTAGAGAAACTGAAAGTATCATAGGGTCCGCTAATGTCTTTTTTAAAGAAGCTGAAAGAATCTCGGGGTCCCTTAGTGTCTTTCTGGAGAAGCTGAAAGAATCTCAGTTTCCCTTAGTATATTTTCTAGAGAAGCTGAAATTACCGTAGGGTCCGCTAGTGTTTTTTTTTTTTTTGTTACAGAAACTGAAAGAATCTCGGGGTTCCCTTGTGTCTTGTTTTTTGAGAAGCTGAAAAATTCTCGGGTCCCCCTACTATCTTTTCTCGAGGAGTTGAAAGTATCATAGAGTCCCCTAGTGTCTTTCTTAGAGAAGCTGAAAGAGTCTCGGTTTCTCCTTGTGTTTTTTTTTTAAGAAAAACTGAAAGAATCTCAGGTTCCCCTAGTATCCTTTCTAGAGAACCTGAAAGTATGATCGGGTCCCCTAGTATCTTTTTTAAAGTAGCTGAAAGAATCTCGGGGTCCCCTAGTGTGTTTTTTTGGAGAAACTGAAAGAATCTCGAGGCTCCCTTGTATCTTTTCTAGAAAAGCTGGAAGTATCATAGGGTCTCCTAGTGTCTTTTTGAGAAACTAAAATAATCTAGGGGTCTCCTAGTGCTAGTTTTTCTAAAATTGAAAAGAATCTCCTGATCTTTTAGTAACTCGAATTCTTTTATTGTCTTTTCTTAGAGAAACTGAAAGTATCTCGGAGTTTCCTAAGATCTTTTTTTAGAGAAGTTGAAAAAATCTCGGGCTCCTCCAGTATCTTTTCCAGAGAATCTGAAAATATCATAGGGTTCCCTAGTGGCTTTTTTAGAGAAAACTGAAAGAACCACGAGTTTCCCTAGTGTCTTTTTTAGATAAGTTGAAGCTGAAAGTATCTAGGGTTTACCTAGTGTCTTTCTTCAGAGAAACTGAAAGAATTTCGGGTTCCCTAGTGTCTTTTTTCAGAGGAGCTGAACAAGTGTTTTTTTTTTATTTTAGAGAAACTGAAAGAATGCAGGTTTTTTTTGTAAAATGGGACAAATCTCGAGACTCCTTAATAGTTTTTAAGTGTCTCTTAAGCCCCTAATTTATTTTTTTCCTAAAAGATGAATGAATCTCGGAGTCTCGTAGCGTTTTTGACATCTTGATATTCCTTGAAAGAAATTGAAAATACTTTTATAAAAAAGTATTATACATTTGTATTAATTATTATTTTTGTAGCACAACAACAGTGTTCCTTTTCCGCAAATACCAGTACAGAAGTTCAAACAAAAAACAAAAAATAGACAACATGGTCAACACCAAATAAACTAGAAAATGCAAAATAAAAGACTCAAAATCAATAACATTTTTCTCTCGCCTTGGAAAACTTCTTTCTGCATATTCAGTGTGCATATGTTTTTCCAGTAGAACGTTATTTTCCCACATTTTCAACACAGCTCCTATAAAATAGAAACTAGAATACTTCGTCAATCAAACAAAAATGTTACCATTTAGAAGCTTTTTAACAACAACGTTGAACTCATCGATAAAAGGAGCATCAGACTTAAAAGCCCAAGCATGAGGCGTCACCCCAAAAGCTCGATTTGTAAACTTTTTAACATCGATAATCGTATGACGCAGCGTTGAACAGTGATACACAGTTTGAACGAGATTCATGGTCAATTCAACAGGAACCAGAGCTTTGTTGTTTTGAACATAGGGGAACATTTCACACTTATCCAGCCATAAAGTGGTAGACCTGAAAAAAATAATAGTTGACGCAAATTTGTTCCTTAGTAACTAAGTAACCTATTAATCAGTCGTTCCTCAGTGTCTAAAAACATCTTCATGTACGACGTGTTCTTCTTAAGCACGATCTGATACCCTTGATCAACCAAATCCTGAAACGTAACATCCTCCAGTGGTTTTTCAAAAATCAACGAAACCAGCATTGATCTATAAATCACGTTGACAATCAAAGCGAAGATCCACCAAGACACGAAAATAACAAGAATCGAGTTCTGCATTCTTTGGAAACGACTGGTTTTGATGTTGGTATTTATTTCGTACTTGCTTTTTAGAAACATCTACATACACCTATTATCAGTATCACACTTGCTGCACTGAAGTTCACTTACCATGAATATATCCACGAACGATAGTTTACACTTGTCGAGGAAAAACACCACCAAAGATAGGAAAAACATCACCACCAAGAGAAACAACTCTAGAAGTAGATTTTTCAACTCGTATTCAAACAGCTTCGAAAGAAACGGTTTTTGAAAAACGTACAATAAACAAAGAGGTTCTAGTCGAAGAAGTGCGCCAAATTTGACCGATTTCATGCGCTGGTTTGTTATAGAAACACCACCAATGGCAAAATCTGCGTTTTTTAGAATCACTTCGTCTATTAGTATGTCAAAAAAATCACTTGGTGTTTCTATCAATTGGTAGGTGAAATTCAAATGTTGACTTAGAGTTTGCAGCAACAGGAATTCTGAACCAGTTGCTTTTTTGCACAAGGTGATATTATTGACTCTAGTTTTTTGACTACAGTATATATAGGGAAGATAATCTATGTAGGCGACTTTGAATAGGTGACCACCGAAATTTTTGAACTTGTTCGAAAATAGAAATTCTATGTCCAGGGGTTGATCGTACGATGATTTCTGCAACAGAGTCATTTTGCCTTTAATGTCACCACAATAGAAGCAGATGGTATATAATTCTACACTTTCGGCATAATTGACTACGGCAACACCTCCCGATTTTTCTAAACCTGACAAGCTGGAAAAATTTTCAGACCCCAGTGGAAAATTAGTTGGGTTGGTGAAAAACACAACAAAATCTGATGTACACAGTTTAGAAAATGTCAAAGGGTTGGATAATAGCACCAGATGCAAATATTTGACACTACACTGTTGTTCTAAATTGGGCTGATTATTGACAATATCGTGGTTAACTAGTGTCAATGAAGCTGATAACGTCATTAGAAACAAATTTGCAGCAACCTTAGTCGCGTTATCGAAATGTAAAACCAAATGAAGTTGTAACTGATCACGTAAAAAATAATTTAGGGAAAACCCATCCTGGCTAGAAATTTTGTCTAGTAGTAAATTGGTAGCAAAAATTAGTGGTATTAATAACCCGAAAACCACGACTTTCCCAAACATTGTCGTTCTCAGACTGGCTCGTTACCAAATAAGTTAAGTGAGTTACTAAGTAATTAAACAATTATTTATTCAAACAAAAAAAACACGTTCAAACCATTCTTCTCTTCTGATAACAAAAATACAACATTTCGGACAAAAAACACACAAAAGAGAGTGTTGTCAACACCAAATAGACAAGAAAATGCAACACGAAAGTGTCAAAATTGATTATTTTGTGATCCTTGTCTAGGGAGAATTTTTTCGAAAATGAGTAGAGATTGTATTTTAGTAAAAGCTTGTCCTCCCACATCTTCAGCAATCCACCTAAAATAATCATAAGTAGTCATAAAAATCGTTAAAAATCTATTTACCTCTCATAACTTCCTTAATGCCTTTATTAAACTCGTCGACGAAGGGAATTCCAGGTCTGAAGGGCCACGCGTGAGGACTCACCGAAAACTTTTCTGTAGACAATTTTTTGACATCTTCGGTAGTGTGATTAAAAATCAAACAAGGGGTGTTGAAATGAATAATATTCAACATGAATTCTCCAGCAAGAAGGGCTTTATTGTCGTAAATGGTTGACTGGATATAGCAAAAGTCCGACATCCATCTGGTGCTAGGTCTACAACAAATTTAGCCACGACTGTAGAAAAAATGTTGACGAATCACCTTTCAATCAGTCGCACTTCGTTTTCCAGAAACATGTGTTCGTACGTGACGTTACTGTTCATAATGATTTCGTACCCTTGATCTACCAAGTTCTCGAAAGTTACAGATTGGGTGGGTTTTGGGATCAATAAAGACGCTAATTGAGATTTGTAGATCACGTTAACAACGACTACAAAGATCCACCAGCTGGTAAAAACAAGAAGAACGGAACAGTGGGTGTTCTTCAAGACAGTGGTGTTAATGTTCGTAGATTGTTCGTACCTGCCTTTGACGAACACCTGGAAACACGTCTAAATTAACATATTAACATTTCAAGGAATCAAAATAGTACCATGACGATGTCCATTAGTTTGGTTTGAACTAAGTATTTTCTGAGTAGTACTTTTACAAGTACCGATAGAACAAGTGTTACCACTAGAAGAAACACTTCTAGCACTAAATTTGCGATTTCGTATTCGTACAATTTCGACAGCAGTGGTTTTTGGTACACATAGAACAGCAAAAGCGGTTCGAACCTAAGCACTGAGCTGAACCTCAGGCTGCTAATGCGTTTGGTCGTGGCTGAAATCCCTCCAATTCCAAGATCCACCTTCCCCGACACCACCTCTTCTATCAGTACGTCGTAGTCAAAATCTTCGATCAACTGGTAGGTAAAGTTCAATTTGTGGCTGAGGGTGTTCAAGAGCTCGATTTCCGACCCAGCGGCCTCTTCACAAACTGTTACTTCGGCCTTCGAACTTTTTTTTTTGCAAAACATGTACGGGAAGTACTCTCCGTAAATAATTTTGATGAGGTGGCCACCAAAATTTTTGGACTTGGTGGTAAACGAAAAATTGGACTTCGTTAAATCGTGGTCGTATGACACATTTTGGAGTGACGTCAGTCTTCCACTGACGTCGCCACAGTAGTAGCAAATCGTGTACAGTTCCACATTTTTGGCAAAGTTGACCACGACGACTCCTCCAGATCTGTCCAAATTGGGTAAACTAGCAAAATCTTTGGTGAAAATTTTGAAAGATGCAGAGTCTGTAATGAACATTATGACATCACTGGAATATACGACGTCGGTGTTTAGTAAAAATGGCGAAAATTTTAATGGGGTGGCCAAAAGTACGACGTTCAAGTAGTTAATTCCGGGTGGTTTGTTCTGGAAGGGTAAAAATTGACTAGTGTCATAGTTGTAAATGTTGACAACTGTAGGGTATAAGTTTAAAAAATCGTTGGCTAAGTCTTCCGAAGCATTGTCGATGTGCATAATCAAGTGGAAAAGTCTATAGTGAGGTAGAACTTTAGCAAAAAAATTAGCCTCTTTGGTAAAATTTGTAACACCAATAATGGGTATTGCGGTAATAATGATGATGAGCACACGAATTGTGGATTTGGCGGCCATTTTGATGTTGAAATCGCCACGTCTGATATCAATTATTGAATTGTCAGGTAAATGTTTATTTTATAAATTGGGTTCTGGGTAATGAGGGGTGTTAGGAATTTGTTTGTGGAACGAATGTGTTGACCGCTTTTTCGGGTTGTTTTTCAGGTGGTGTCTGTAAAACCCGCATAACTGGGAAATAAACGTCAGGATATGGATTATAGGGGATAAAGATGGAACCACCTGTTGATTTTTAAGCTGGGACTGTAACAAATAAAGTCTAGGGATTTTGAACTGTGATTGGTTAAAATGGGTCCGATCGACTGAGAATAGGTGTAAAATTGAAATGAAATAATTGAAAAATTAAAAAACCGAAAAATCCAAATACGACAAGTCTAAAAATCGATATATTTAAAAATCGATAAATGGACATACCAAAAATTCGAAAAATCAAAAAATCGATCAATCGAAAAGTTGAAAAATCTAGAAAAAGAAAAGTTGGTCGCAAATCGAAAAATCAAGAAATTTAAATAGCCCAAAACCAAAAAATTAATAACAATTGAATAACTGAAAAAATTTAATCTTAAAAGAGTTGACAAATCGAAAAATCGTAAAAATTAAAAATCGAAAAATCAAAAATTTTTACAATAAAATAATTGAAAAGTCTAAAACAGAGAAGCCAAAGAATCGAAAGATCGAGAAATTGAAAAATCTCAAGACAAATATCGAAAATTTGATAAATCAATAAATCGAAAAATTGAAAAATGCCAAGACCGAAACATTGTAAAATTGAAAAAACGAGGAATCAAAATGTCGAAAAATCGCAAATTTAAACAATCGAATAATTGAAAAATCAGTAACTGATATGATAAATCGAAAAATCGAAATATTGGAAAATCGAAAAATCGGGTAAACGAAAAATCGAAAAGTCAAAAATCGGAAAATCAAGAAATTGAAATAGCCCAGAACTAAAAAGTTAATAACTGAATAATTGAAAAATTTAAGATTTAAAAAAGTCGATTAAACGAAAAATCGGAAAAATGAAAATCCGAAAAATGAAAAAATATGAAAAACAAAAAATTCAAAATTCTAAAAGCAAGAAGTCTTAAATCATAAATTTAAAAAATCGAAATACTGAAAAATGTCAAAATTCACGTAACGTTAAATTGATAAAAATCTCAAAACTAACACATTAAAAATTTGAAAAATTAAAAACCGAGAAGTCGAAAAATCGAGAAATTAAAATATCAAAAAAATGAAATCTGTAAATTTTAAAAATTGGAAAAATTGACAAATAGAAAAAACGAGACATTAAAATACTGAAAATTGAAAAATCGAGAAATCAAAAAATCAAAAAATCTAAAATTTTAAATATCAAAATATTAAGTTTCCCGATACTGAATGAAATATCGAAAAATTGGGTCCTAAAACTGCAATATTGAAAAATTGAAAAATGGAGAAATCGAAAATTCGAAAAATAGAAAATCTAAAACATCCAAAAATTGAAAAATCAAAAACCTGTTAAATCGAAAAATTGAAAAATTGGTAAATGTATTCTGAGGGTTTGAGGTTATCCTATTATTAGTTTTGTGAGGATTTGAGGATTATTGTGTTCTGAAGATTTGAGGATTATGATGTTCTGAGGATTTGAGGATTTTCGTAATTTGAGGATTCGAAGATTATAATGTTCTGAGGATTTGAGGATTATGATGTTCTGAAGATTTGAGAGTTTTTATGTTTTGAGGATTTGAGTTTTATGGTGTTCTGAAGATTTGAGGATTGTGGTGTTCTGAGGATTTTAGGATTACGATGTTCTGAGAGTTTGAGGGTTATGGTGTTCTGAGGATTTGAGGCTTATCGTGTTCTGAAGATTTGAGGATTATGGTGTTCTCAGAATTTGAGGATTATGGTGTTCTGGAAATTTGAGGATTATCATGTTGTAAGGATTTGAGGACTATGGTGTTCTGAGGATTTGAAAACTATGATGTTCTGAGGATTTAAAAACTATGATGTTCTGAGGATTTGAAAACTACCATGTTCTGAGGATCTGATCTTATGGTGGGTTTGAGGATTTTGGTGTTTTGAGGATTTGAGTATTATGGTGCTCTAGCATTTATAGATTATGGTGTTCTGAGAATTTCAGTATTATGACGTTTTGAGGGTTTGAGATGAATGGTGTATAGACAATTTCAGGATTATGGAGTTCTGAGGATTTGAGGATTATTGTGCTCTGAAGAATTGAGGATTATGGTTTCTGAGGATTTGAGGTTTATGGTATTCTGAAGATTTGAGGATTATGATGTTCTGAAGATTTAAGGATTATCATGTTCTAAGGATTTGAAGATTATGGTGTTCTGAGGCTTTGTGGCTTATGGTGTTTTGAAGATTTGAGGATTATTTTGTTCTGAAGATTTGAAAATTACGGTGTTTTGAGGATTTGAGTATTATGTGTTCTGAAGATTGGAGGATTATGGTGTTCTGAGGATTTGACGGTTATGGTACTCTGAGGATTTGAAGATTTTGGTGTCTTGAAGATTTGAAGATTTGAGTATTACGGTGTTCTGAGAATTTGAGTATTATGGCGTTTTGAAGGTTTGAAATTAATGGTATTTTAACAATTTAAAGATTATGGGGTTCTGAGTATTTGAGGATTATTGTCCTCTGAATAACTGAAAAATACGGTTTTCTGAGGATTTGAGATTTATGGTATTTTGAAGATTTGAGGATTATCATGTTCTAAGGATTTGAGGATTATGTTGGTCTGAGAATTTGGGGATTATAGTGTTATGGGCATTTTAGGATTATGGTGTTCTGGGGATTGGAGGATTATGATGTTCTGAAAGTTTAGAGAATTACGGTGTTCTGAGGATTTACACTTACGGTGCTCTAGGGATTTGAATTTTTTCGTGTTCTGAGGATTTGAGAATTAAGGTTTTTTGCGTATTTTTAGATTATAATTTTCTGAGAATTTAAGTATTATGATGTTCTGAGGATTTGAGGGTTATGTTGTTTTGACGATTTGAGGATTATGATGTTCTGAAGATTTGAGGATTATCATGTTCTAGGGATTTGAGGATTATGGTGGTCTGAGAATTTGGGGACTATGGTGTTCTGGGGATTTTAGGATTATGGTGTTCTGGGAATTGGAGGGTTATGATGTTCTGAGGATTTACACTTATGGTGCTCTGGGGATTTGTGGTTTTTCGTGCTCGGAGGGTTTGAGGATTATGGTTTTTTGCGTATTTGGAGATTAAGATGTTCTGAGGATTTGAGTATTATGATGTTCTGATCATTTGAGAATTATGTTGTTTTGAGAATTTGAGGATTATGATCTTCTGAGAATTTGAGCATCATCGGGTGCTGAGGATTTGCGGGTTATTGTGTTTTGAGGATTTGAGGATTATGACGTTTTGAGGATTGGAGAATGATGGTGTTTTGACCATTTAAGGATTATGGGGTTCTGAGGGCTTGAGGATTATTATGCTCTGAGGAATTGAGGATTATGGTGTTCTGAAAATTTGAGGTTTATGGTGTTCTGAAGATTTGAGGATTATGGTGTTCTCACGATTTGACTGTTATGGTACTCTGAGGATTTGAAGATTTTTGTGTTTGGAAGATTTTAGTGTTATGGTGTTCGGGGAATTTGAGGATTATGGTGTTCTGAGGATTTGGGGATCATCATGTTCTGAGGATTTGAGGAATATAATGTTCTGAAGAAATGAGGGATATGGTGGGTTTGAGGATTTTGGTGTTTTGAGGATTTGAGTAATACGGTGTTTTGACAATTGAAGGATTATAGGGTTCTGAGGATTTGAGGATTATTGTGCTCTGAAGTATTGAGGATTAAGGTTTTCTGAGGATTTGAGGTTTATGGTTTTCTGAAGATTTGAGGAGTGTGATGTTCTGAAGATTTGAGGATTATCATGTTCTAGGGATTTGAGGATTATGGTGGTCTGAGAATTTGGAGACTATGGTGTTCTGGGGATTTGAGGTTTTTCGTGTTCTGAGGGTTTGAGGAATATGGTTTTTTGAGTATTAGGAGATTTTGATATTCTGAGAATTTGAGTATTTTGATTTTCTCAGGATTTGAAGATTATGATGTTCTGATCATTTCAGAATTATGTTGTTCTGAGAATTGGAGGATTATGGTCTTCTGAGAATTTGAGTATCATCGGGTGCTGAGGATTTGAGGGTTATTGTGTTTTGAGGATTTGAGGATTGGAGAATTATGGTGTTTTGAGAATTTAAAGATTATGGGGTTCTGAGAACTTGAGGATTATTGTGCTCTGAGGAATTGAGGATTATAGTGTTCTGAAGATTTGAGGCTTATGGTGTTCTGAAGATATGAGGATTATGGTGTTCTCAGGATTTGACGATTTAGGTGTTCTGCAGATTTGGGGATTATCATGTTCTAAGGATTTGAAGATTATGGTGTTATGAGAATTTGGGAATTATGGTGTTCTGGGGAGTTAAGAATTATGCTGTTCTGAGGATGTGAGGATTATGGTGTTCTGAGAATTTGGGGATCATCATGTTCTGAGGATTTGAGGAGCATGATGTTCTGAAGATTTGAGCGGTATGGTGGGTTTGAAGATTTTGGTGTTTTGAGGATTATTGTCCTCGGGAGAATTGAAGATTATGGTTTTCTGAAGATTTGAGGACTATGATGTTCTGAAGATTTGAGGATTATCATGTTCTGAAGATTTGGGGATTATCATGTTCTAAGGATTTGGGGATTTTGGTGGTCTGAGAATTTGGGGATTATGATGTTCTTGGAATTTTAGGATTATGGTGTTCTAGGGATTGGAGGATTATGATGTTCTGAAAGTTTGGAGAATTATGATGTTCTGAGGATTTACACTTATGGTGTTCTGGGGATTTGAGGTTTTTCGTGTTCTGAGGGTTTGAGGATTTTTTGCGTATTTGGATATTATGATGTGCTAAGAATTTGAGAATTATGTTGTTCTGAGAATTTGAGGATTATGGTCTTCTGAGAATCTTAGTATCATCGGGTGCTGAGGATTTGGGGGTTATTGTGTTTTGAAGATTTGAGGATTGGAAAATTATGATGTTTTGACAATTTAAGAATTATGGGGTTCTGAAGACTTGAGGATTATTGTGCTCTGAGGAATTGAGGATTATGGTGTTCTGAAGATTTGAGGCTTATGGTCTTCTGAAGATTTGAGGATTATGGTGTTCTCACGATTTGACTGTTATGGTACTCTGAGGATTTGAAGATTTTGGTCTTTTGAAGATTTGAGTGTTATTGTTTTCGGAGAATTTGAGTATTATGGTGTTTCGAAAATTTGAGATTAAAGGTGTTTTGACAATTTAAAGATTATGGGGTTCTGAGAATTTGAGGATTATGGTGTCCTGAAGATTTGAGGCTTATGATGTTCTGAAGATTTGAGGATTATGGTGTTCCGAGGATGTGAGGATTATAATGTTTGACGATTTGAGAATTAAGTTCTGACAATTTGAGGATTATGGTCTTGTGAGTATTTCAGCATCATCGGGTGTTGAGGAATTGAGGATTATGATCTTGTGAGGGTTTGGGAATTATGGTGTTTTGATAATTTAAGAATTATGAAGTTCTGAGTGTAAGGATTATTGTGCTCTGAGCATTTAAAGATATGGTGTTCTGAAAAATTGAGGCTTATGGTATTTTGAGATTTGAGGATTTTTTTGTTCAGAAGATTTGAAAATTACAGTGTTCTGAGGATCTAAGGATTATGGTGTTCTGAAGATTGGCGGATTGTGGTGTTCCCAGGATTTGAATATTACGAAAATCGAAACATTGGAAAATCGAAAAATTGGAGAACTGAAAAACTGAAAACTTAAGAAATCAAAAAATTGAGAAATCGAACTTCATAATGTTGAAAAACCCAGAAAAGGGAAAACCAAAAAAACCTAATTATAAAAGCCGAAAAACTGATTAATCGAAAAATCGAGAAATTGAAAAATCGAAATCTTACGAACGCCAAAAATTGAAAAATCCAAAAATTGTTATATAATTTTAATTTTTTCTAAAAATCTGGATGCTTAGGGTAAAAACTCAACACGGATCCATAAACCACAAGTAGAGGAGTACGTTACTTAATAGAATTTAAACATTTCTTTTAATTAACTGTAATAGCATGATGTTACAGGTTGAAAATAGATTTACAAATATGTGTCGTGTAAACGTAGCCCTCACAACGTATTTAGTTTCTGAACATATGGTGACATCTGGAAATAAAATTACTATGACTGCATTGATGAACAGAAAGTGCTTTATTATATCATAACTTACCGTTTCTGCTTGAAGTTAAGAATTTTCGTCCATTCGTCTTATTATTTTCTATTCGTTAATAATTACTGATGATTTTAATAAAATAACTCCAGTGCCTGTAAACTGAAACAATCTTAATGTTTGACCAAACAATCAATATATATTTTGGTGTGGGTAAATCACCGGCTATTACAGAAACAAAACACACAGATACATTTATGCCAAAGCAAACAAATAATTAGCCAGCAAACCCAATCACACAAATTTAATTAAAAATTAATTATTCAACCGCGGCGACTCTATTAACCATATTTCACAACAAAAAAGTCAATTAAATTCATCGAACTCCCAAAAATGGTGGATGCGCCGGAATAATTGTCTCCAATTTCGGCACCGTAATTTCATTGGCCATCCCACAGTAATCATTAATGCAAATACAACCAGACCTGTTGTGACATGCAGCTCACAACTCTAACGACACAAATCCAATTATTACCACACACGCTCTTTATACTTTTGATTATCCACTATTATGCAGCTTGGAGGTCGGAGTTCAGCGACCTTCCAGACTGCAGCAGCGGGATCAATAGCGCACTTCCTTAAATTTGAACCACCTAGCTAATGCGTCGTGAAAAATTGATAAACCCGTGAATTTAGTCCACGACTCGCACAAGACACAGGACTGTGCCGTGATTACCCAGATGTTGCATGACCTCTTGTTTAATTTTAAAAGTTATCGGGTAATTCGAACCCACGTCGTTTAAAAGCGATTAGACTCGAAAGTTCTCGCAAACATTTGCTGGATACATACCCATAGGCGGGGACATCAGGAGCCATTCTTTTCCATTTTATTTATAAAGAGAGGGTTGAAGCTCCGTTTCGGGGCAAATATTGATTTCCAAGCCAGAAATGTTCCGAAGTAACGGCTGGCGATTTATGGTTTTGTCCCAGGTCTATCTGGGTCCTGGAATGTGATTGCATCGGTCGCGCTTCCGGTGCATCCACGAATTTTTCTCTCTTAAATATTAAAAGGACTCGAGTAAACCGGTTGGAGATTAATGGGGTTGGGGGATGGGTTACAAATGTGGGAGAATGAGGATGCTGACGTGCGAAACGAACATTATAAAGTCAAATGTCTGGATAATGGTGGAGTTGTGGAACACGAAAGTATAACGAAAGAAGCGATTATCTGGAACGGAGTTGGAGGAGTGCTGGTTTACTGATAAAATTGAAAAGCTGTGCACTGTACAAAGGATAAAGAGTAAATTGGAGTAGTCTAGACGATAATGTCCAAACGAAGATCGGGTAATTCGGTGAAAGGATTTCCAGCTAACACAGATTTCGTTCCTGTCGGGATTCATTCGGAATGAATAAACACCACATTATAGCGTACACTCTAATTAAAAGAGGGTTTAATTAATTTATCATTACATTAATTTCTACCTTGTGTGAAGACTAGAATCCAAAAGAAGACGTGCAGCGCTGTGTAATGAAAAGCGACGGGTTTCCGTAAGCACAACTTTGTTCTTCATAATTTACTAACAGAGCTGAACTTACAGAAACTCATTTCTTTCAATTTGTCATTTAAGCGAGCTGTTGCACTTCAGACAGAGTGGAAGAGGGAGACAATATTTGTTTTTTTAATTTTGTACATATTTTAGTTAATGGAGTGCAAAATTTTCCATCGTAGGAGGAAATGTGGATTCATTTTTTCTCCAAACGAAAAGCGAAGACACAGAGGCGCCTACCCTTGAAACACGGCCAGACATCAAGGACTGAGAATCTGGGGCAAGTTCAAGTGTAGGTCTTGAGTTACATTCAAAGTCAAACCGGTAAATCAGTTAAACACTTACACAGGATGTTGCATCTCAACTGGTCGATAAAATTGACTCCGAACTATTACCTGGGTAACAGGTAATTTATTTGAAAACACTGAAAATCTGAAAAGAGCCAATTGGTTTTCTTCAAAAACGGTTTTTGACAAGCTGAAAATTATTGGTCAGTGTTGCTGAGAACTTAAATAAAATAACTGAGAAAACCCGGATTATTCCGGGCGCCTCCGCAGCTTTTAGCGAAATTTTAAAAATCACAACTCTTAATGGAAATTTTCCAAGGATAACGATTCAGGGTTTATTTTTGTCGATCGTCCTTTCGAGATATGGAAGCTTTAGGGTGTCAAGGAACTTTGAAATCTTTTTAAGCTTTGAAAATTTTGAAAATTCTGGTAAACCTGAAACTCTATATACGCTGAAAGCTCTACAAAATCCGACAACTGACAATTTTATAAACTGTCAGTTTGAAAAGTTTGAATATTTGGAAAATTCTGAATGTCTGGAAATTTGCAAAGTTCTGGAACTTTCGACAGATAGAACCTTTTGTGTTTTGGAAACAAAAAGCTTTGCGCTTTCGGGAATGAGGGGCATGACTGAAAATTTTTAAAATATTAGAAGTTGAAATGCTGGTAACCTGAGAACTCTATAAACTCTCAAGGCTTTGACGGTTGAATAAAATCCGAAAATTGACAATTTTGGAAAACTGTCAAAAGTGTTAAATAATTGGGAAATTCCAAATGTCTGGAAACTCGGCAAGGTTCCGCAACTTTTGAGATGTAGAAGGTTCTAAAGGATCTAGGAACGTCGAAACCTTTTTCAAATCTATAAACTTTTAAAATTCTGGGTTTTCAAAAGAAAAACCTTATATGGTCGGGAAAAAGTAGCACATATAAAAATTTTGAAAATATTAAAAGTTGAAAACTCTGGAAAGTCTTAAAATTCTACAAAGTCTGAAAGCCCTGAATGTTCTACAAAATCCGACAACACGCAATTTTAGTAATTTTGAAGGTCTGGAAACTTTGGAAAGTTCCGCAGCTTTCGAGAAATAGAAGCTTTAGAGGGTCTAGCAAATATTAGAAACATTGGAACTTCTGTATTCTGGAAACAAAAACTCTCTACTACTCTTGGAAATGTGGAAAATTTTGAATGTTTGGAAACTTGCAAAGTTCCTCGACTTTACGGAAGCTTTTAAGGGTCTAGTAACTCTGAAATATTTATAATTTTAGAAATTTTAAAAATGTTGTATTCTCGACATAAAAACTGGAAATTTTATAAATATTAGAAGTTGAAAGTCTAATAAATCTGAAAACTCTATAATTCCTGAAGGCCCTGATAGTTCTATAAAATCCGAAAATTGACAATTTTGAAAACGGTCAACAATGTTTAAGGATTTAGTAAATTCCAGATGTCTGGAAATTTGCAAAGTTCTGAAACTTTTTTTTCGAAATATGGAAGTTCTAGAGTGTCAAGCAACTTTAAAATCGTTCTAAATGTTAGAAACTTCAAAATTCAAGTCCCAGAAACTCTGAATGTTATACAAAATCCGACAACTGGCAATTTTAAAAGTTGCCAATTTTGAAAAGTTTGGAAATGTGGAAAATTCTAGAAGTTTTGAAAATTCTGTATCCTGGAAAACTGTTGCACGAAGTACAAGAACTGTCAATTTTAAAAGCTGTCAATTTTGAAAAGTTTGGAAATGTGAAAAATTCTAAATGCCTGGAAACTTACAAATTTCCGCAACTTTCAAGAGATAGAAGCTTGTAAGGGTCTGGCAACACTGACTTTTTTTTAAATTTTAAAAATTTTGAAAATTTTGTATTTTGGAAACAAAAACCTAGTCCGGGAAAGAGCCGAAATTTTGTAAATATTAGAAGTTGAAACCCTGGTAAATCTGAAAACTCTATAAACCCTGAAAGCTTTAGTGGTTCTAGAAAATTCGAAAATTGACAATTTTGAAAACTATCAATAATTTTTAAAGATTTAGGAAATAACGAATGTCTGGAAATTTTGCACAGTTTTGAAATTTTCGACGTATGGGAGTTCTAGAGAGTCCACTAACTTTGAAATCTTTCTAAACTTTAGTAGAAACTTTGAAAATTTAAACCCTAAAAACTCTGAATGTTGCACAAAATCCGGCAATTGGCAATTCTAAGAGCTGTTAATTATGAAAAGTCTGGTGATTTGGCGAATTCTAAATGTCTGGAAACTTTGCAAAGTTCTGCAACTCTCGGGATATGAAAGATTCTAGAGTCTCTAGGAACTTCGAAATCTTTTAAAAATTTGGAAACAAAAAACCTTATAAGGTCGGGAAAAAATATCACGTCTAAAAATTTCGAAAATATTAAAATTTGAAAACTCTGGCAAGTCTGGAAGTTCTATAAACTGTGAAAGCTCTGAATGTTCTAAAAAATCCGACAACTGGCAATTATGGAGAGTTTGAAATTTTGGAAAATTTTGAATCTCTAGAAACTTTAGAATGTTGCGCAGCTTTTGAGAGATAGAAGCTTTAGAGGGTGTAGCAATTTTGAAATCTTTCCAAATTTTAGAAACTTTGGAAATTCTGTATTCTGGAAACAATTCTGGAAACTCTCTACGTTCGGGAAAGAATGGCATGAATGGAACTTTTGTTAATATTAGAAGTTGAAACTTTGGTAAACCTGAAACTCCAGAAATCCTGAAAGCTGTGATGGTACTATAATATTCGAAAATTGGCAATTTTGAAAACTGTCAACAATGTTTAAAGATTTGGGAATTTCTGGATATCTGGAAGCTTTGCAAATTTCCGCAACTTTCGTAAAATAGAAGGTTTTAGATGTTATAGGAACTTTGAAACCTTTTTAAAATTTAGAAAATATGAGAAATCCGCGTTCTGGTAACAAAAAACTTTATAAGATCGGGAAAAAGTAGCACATCTATAAATTTGGAAAAATTAAATTTTGAAAATTCTGGTAGGTGTGAAAACTCTACAAACTCTGAAAGCTCTGGATGTTCTAGAAAGTCCGACAACTAACAATGTTAAAAACTGTCAGTTTGAAAATCTGGAAAATTCTGAATGTCTGGAAACTTGCAAAGTTCGGGAACTTTCGAGAGATAGAACCTTTTTAAATTCCAGATATTTTGAAAATTTTGTGTTCTGGAAACAAAAGCTCTGCACTTTCGGGAAAGAGTGGCATGACTCGAAATTCTGAAAATATTAGAAGTTGAAATTCTGGTAAACCTGAGAACTCTTTAAACTCTGAAAGCTTCGTAGTTCTAGAAAATCCAAAAATTGGCAATTTTGAGAACTGTTGACAGTGTTTAAATATTTGGGAAATTCCGGAAGTCTGGAAACTTTGAAAAGTTCCGCAATTTTCGAGATATGGAAGGTTCTAGAGGTTCTAGGAACTTCGAAACATTTTCCAAATTTAGAGACTTTTAACTGAGTTCTAGAAACAGAAAACCTTATATGATCGGGAAAACTATGGAAAGTTGGAAAATTCTACAAGTTCTGAAAGTTCTGAACGTTCTACAAAATCCAACAACTGGCAATTTTAAAAATTGGCTCATTTTGGAAAAGTTGAAAATTTAGAAAATTTTGAGTGTCTGGAAACTTTGGAAAATGTCGCAACTTTCGAGGTATAGAAGGTTGTCGAGAGTCTAAGAACTTTGAAACCGTTTTAAAATTTAGAAACTTTGAAAATTCTGTGTTCTCGAAACAAAAAAGTTTATAGGTCAAAAAAGTAGTAAATTTTGGAAATATTGAAAGTTAACTTTGAAAACTTTAGAGACCCTGAAAGCTCTGAATGTTCTGAAAAATCTGAAAATTAGCATTTTTGAAAGCTGTCAACAATGTTTGCAGATGGGGAAATTTCGGATGGAAAGTTTGAAAATTGGAATGTCCGGAAACCTTGCAAATTCCCTGGAAACAAAAAACTTTGAAAATATTAAAATATGAAAACTCCGGTAGCTCTGAAAACTCTACAAACCGTGAAAGCTCTGAATGATCTACAAAATCTGAAAATTGGCAGTTTTGAAAACTGTTAACAATGTAAATATATATTTGAGAAATTCCGGTTGTGTGGAAACTTTGTCAAGTTCTGCAACTTCCGAAATATAAAAGGTTCTAGAAGCTCTAGGAACTTTGAAAATTTTGTGTTTTGGTAACAAAAAATTTTATGAGGTCGGGAAAAATTAGCATGTCTGAAA